ATCTAGAGACTTCAGAACTTCACTTCTAATGATAGGACAATTTATAATGTAAACAAAGAGAGCTGAGTGGACTGTCTTTATTGATCTGGGCTTGTGGTCAACTAGAAGTTAGGTTCTATAATCTGGGACTATCTTATTCACATTTCTGGTATTGGTGTGCTGTTGGCCAGGGGAACAGCGTCTGTGATCATCCAGCAGGCCTTCCTGGGCTTCTTGGAAAAGGAAAAAAGAGATAAATATTCTAATACATGAAATGACCTAAATSGGGACAAGGATCCTAGTGAAAGAACTCAAAATATCAAGAAGGTGACCTGGGCGGGGTGTAGTGGCATACACCTGTAATCTCAGGGACTTGGGAGGCTGAGGCAGGAGGAACATGAGTTCAAACCCAGCCTTAGCAATTTAGCAAGATTCTGAGTAACTTAGCAAGACCCTGTCTCAAAATAAAAAACATAAAAAGGGCTGATGATGTGGCTCAGTGGCTAAGCACCCCAATATCAAAAACAACCCGAGAAGGTGACCTGGTCCTGGTCCAAGGAGACAAGATGAGTTTGTTGGGAATCCACTGGTCATGAGGAACCTTAGGTCACTGAATGATATCAATTCTGCTTCTAATAATGACTAAGCAAGATCCTACTGGACTCACTCTCACACAGAAAACAACCATAAAATCTAGATGTGATTTTTTAAAAAAAGCTCCCTGAATGCAACGGACAGTAAGGGGAGGGCACATTCTGGAGGAAGGAAGCCGTGAAGTGCATTCTCATTTTTTGCAAGGATCACATGCAGTCAGAGGAGGAGCAGTATGACGGGAGTACTGGTAGGGGGGAAAAGTCTTTCTGGCCTGGGAAACCAGAACAGTGAAGTCCAGGAAACTACAGACTGACCAAGGAGATGGAAAAGTGAGAAAGGGATCCCAAAAGGAAAAGAGCAAAAAAAAATGATGATACTCAAGTCACATATGCATGGAACAATCCAAAGCACTTCAATAAACAACAAAGTATCTGAACTGAGATTGAGCTACCACTCAAAGAAACAGTTCATAGCTCTATTCTAAGATAATCATCTGCCAAACAAATTGATCACAATCAAAAACTATGGAAAACCTTCTCAAGAGAAAAAAAAATCAACTCTAAGAAGTATTCAAATAAGCCAACAAATGGCAGGAAAAGCAAAGAAAAGGGAAGACAAATTTAAAAAGAAATAATAAAACGGTAGCTGCAAAATCATCACCACCAATAATTACAGTCAGTGATAGTGAACAAAAATTCCAATTAAATGGCAGAAATTGACAAAATTTATTTAAGAAGTAAGATATAGCTATATGCTATCCAAAAGAGATGAATTTTGAATATAAGGTCCCAGAGATTGAAAATACATGGATAAAAATGATCTACAGAGCTTGGGTTGTGGCTCAGCGGTAGAGTGCTCGTCTAGCACATGCAAGGCCCTGGGTTTGATCCTCAGGACCATATAAAAATAAATAAATAAAATAAAGGTATTGTGTACAACTACAACTAAAAATAAATATTAAAAAAAATGATCTAGAGAGGCTGGGGTCGTAGCTCAGTGGTAGAGCGCTTGGCTCGCACATGTGAGGCACTAGATTCTATCTTCAGCACCACATAAAAATAAATAAAATATTGTGTTCATCTACAATTAAAAAATTTGTTTTAAATGATCTAGAGTAAAAGACAAAGAGTAAGTAGAATATTACTACCAGAGAGAGATTCTTTATCATCATATTTCATGAAAATAAAATGATCAATTTATCAAGACATAATAATATGTTATATGTATACATTAACAGTATGAACCTTGAAAATACAGAAGCAAGTCTGGAGTGGTGGCGCACACCTATAATCCATGCGACTCCGGAGGCTGAGGTAAGAGGATCACAAGTTCAAAGCCAGTCTCAGCAACTTAGTGAGGCCCTAAACAACTTAGTGAGACCGTGTCTCAAAATAAAAAATAAAAAGGGCCAGGCTCGGTGGCGCACGCCTGTAATCCCAGTGGCTCAGGAAGCTGAGACAGGAGGATTGCAAATTCAAAGCCAGCTTCAGCAACAGCAAGGCACTAGGCAACTCAGTGAGACTCTATACAGCCGGCTGGGGATGCGGCCCAGTGGTCAAGTGCCCCTGAGTTCAATCCCTGGTAGTAATAATAATAATAATAAAATGAAAAATTAAAAAGGACTGGGGATGTGCTTCTGTTGTTAAATGCCCCTGGGTCCAATTCCTGGTACAAAAAAATAAGTAAGTGAATAAACAAATAAATGTAAACAAAAAAAAACCTTATTTAAAAAAAGAAAATACATGAAGCAAAACTGACAGTATTGCTGTACATGGTTGGCATATCTGTAATCCCAGTAACTTGGAAGGCTGAGGCAAGAAGATCACAAGTTCAAGGACAGACTGGGCAATTTACTGAGACACTGTCTCAAAATAAAAAATAAAAAGGGCTGGGAATGTAGCTCAGTGGTAGGGTGCCCAGTACCAGAAAAAAGTAAAATTAATAATATTAAGGTGTTAAATAGAAAATTTCAAAATCTTAGTTGGAGACTTTAACTTTTTATTGCAGCAATTGACAGAATAACTAGGCAAATAAGTCAGCAAAGACAGAAGATATGAACATTAGCAATCATCTTAACTGATATCTACAGGACTATATCTGACAACCATAAAATTTATATTCTTTTCAAGTACTATGGTAGACCCTCCAGTATAAACTATATGCTAGGCAATAAAACAAGCTTCAGTAAATTTAAAAGCACTCTTTATGATAGTTCATAAGGAAATTTTGATATTTCACAAAGGGTATGTTGTTTGAATGTAATGAAATCAAATTAGAAATCAGCAATAACAAAATAACTAAGAAAATACCAACATTTGGAGATTAAACAGCATTTTTTTTTAATACCAAGGATTGAACCCAGGGGATGCTTAATCACTAAGGCATGTCCCTAGCCCTTTTTTTTTTTTTTTTTTTTTTTTTAATTTTGAGACAGGGCCCCACTAAGTTGCTGGGACTGGCTCTAAACTTGTAATCTTCCTGCCTGCCTCAGCCTCCTGAGCTGCTGGGATTATAGGCATGCACCACCATGCCCAGCTAAACAACAAATTTCTAAATAATCCATGGATCAAAAAGGTTCTTAGAATAAAAATCAGAAAATATTCTTACCTGAATTATAATGAAGATATTATGTTAAAACTTGTGGAATGGGTTGGGGACATAGCTATGTTGGTAAAGAATGCTTGCTTCACATGTACAAGACCCTGGGTTCAATCCCCAGCAACACACACACAAAAAAAAATCTATTGGCCAAATTATATTGTTGTATTATGTGCTTGTATAATATGTAACAACAAATCCCATCATTACCTACAACAATATTCCAAAAAAAAATTGTGAAAAGAAAAAAAAATCTGGGAATAAATAAAAACAAAACATATGTAACCCTGAACTATAAAAACTACACAATGAATAATAATAGAAGGCATAATAACATGTTCACAAATTGGAACACTCAAGAATGTTAAGATGGCAATTCTCTCCAAATTTATCTAAAATTTCAATACAATCATTTTAACTTCCCAGGATACTTTTTGAAGAAATTAAGTCTGCAACTTATATAGAAATGTGAAAACATAGAATAGCAAATATAACTGAGAAAAAAAATGAACAAGGTTACAATACCTGATGTTAGACTTTCTGTAAATCTGCAATAACTAAGGCATCATGGTTAGGGCATAAGAATAAACACATAGATCAATGGACTACAACAGAAAATTCAATAATAGCCTATAGGGTCAAATGACTGGATAGTCCCCAACTTACTTACAATGGTTTAACTTATGATTTTTCAACTTTCTAATGGTACAAAAGTGATATAAATTTGGTAGAAAACAAACTTGGAAATTTGAATTTTGATCTTGTCCCAGGCTTGAAGGAATGGGCTGGAGACATCTATGTGCACAAAACAAAGATCATGCAGTAGGATCATGCAGTAGGGTGCCATCTAATGAAGCTGAGCAGGGGCAGTACACCACAGTTCCTATCAGCACAATCACAAGTGTCTAACCCTCTGCAGTGTGTTGTACAGTGTACAATACCTTACAGCATCCTAACACTGTGGCTAGTGTTTTTTGATATAGAAACTTAATAAATTACATTAGACAGTCAACATTCTATTATACAACAGGATTTAATGTTAGATAATTTTGTCCAACTTAGACCAATGTTTAAGTGTTAAGAGCACATATAAGGGAGGGTAAGCTAATCTATGATGTCTGGTAGATAGGTGTATTAAATACATTTTTGATTCATGCTGTTTTCAACCTAGGATGGGTTTATTGTGACATAGCCCTAGTGTAAGTCAAGAAGCATTTATGTGCCCAAAACAAAGATAACAAAGCAGGGCACAGTACACCCATAGTCCCAGCTACTTGAGAGTCTGACACAGATCACTTGAGCCCAGGAGTTTGAGAACAGCCTGGGCAACAAAATGAGGAAAAAAAGAGAAAAAAAAGTAACAACTCAAGCCTTTCAGTATTCAAGAAAATATAGATAATTACAGTGATTTATTAAAAATATGAAATATCTCTGATTAAATAACATTCTAAAWACAAGTAGGTATGACAAAATAAAATTAATTCATTTTAAATTTAAGGAGAGAAATATGACCTCTGTACCCCATCCAAAACATCTGCCCAAAAAAGGACGTCACACAATCCAAATAACTAGAAGGAATCCTATCAAGAAGGTGAGAGAAAAAATAAAATTCCAAACATACAGAAAAAGAATTAAACTTGGAAAGAGAAAGCATATTTCCAAAGCATTAAAAAGGAATCCAGTCACCAGCATACAAGCTCAATGAAGTCATTCATTCCACATTTTGCTAAAGTACAGATTATTTTACTAATACCTGTACTGAATCAATAAATATTACACTGAACTAAAAGATTTCACAAAAGATTCTGTGAAATTCAATAAACTTCTACCTTTGGCCATTTGGGATTGAGAAGCCGGGCTTTGATTGCGTCATCCAGTGCCTTGTCATACTGCTGGATTTTCATGTAGGCTGCAGATCTATTGCTGTATAAAATGCAGTTCTGAGGGTCAACAGCCAGGGCTTCATTGTACAGGACAATAGCTGTGTGGAAATCGCCATCGTGACAAGCCTGGTTACTCTGACGAACTTTCTCAACAAATTCAGCTTTGCTCAGTACTGGTTCATCAGGACTTCTCCGGCCAATAGTCTTAGCACCAAAAAGAGAAATCTACAAAGAAATTGTCAAACACAGTTCAGATAATCCAGTCAGGTTCCTTGTTTGAACCTAAATAAAACATGGATATTCTTCCCCATCTGCTTTACATTATATTTGACTTTTGTCCCCTGAAATATAGTAAACTTTCCATGAAGCAGCAACACAGTGCCTTGAATACATACATACATTTGTGTAACAGTTATATACATTCATATTTGTATAAATATTTGTACAAATTTATTGACTGACAGGATGGAGGAATGAATGGGTGAATGAATGAATAAATAAATGCATGCAAAAAAAATACTGAAGTTTTCCTTAGCAATTTAAAGTTAACTAGGGAAAAACCAAAATAAAAACATACATAGACAACATGATTTCAACATGTTAAGATCGTTCGACTTCAAAAAATAATGAAAGCATAAAATCAAAATACTAACAATGCTAAGCTGTTACTTACTTGATGTAACATTATGGAGCATTTTTTACTTTTTTTTTTAAAGAGAGAGAGAGAGAGAAAGAGAGAGAGTTATTTTAATGTTTATTTTTTAGTTCTCGGCAGACACAACATCTTTGTTGGTATGTGGTGCTGAGGATCGAACCTGGGCCGCACTCATGCTAGGCAAGCACGCTACCGCTTGAACCACATCCCCAGCCCATTTTTTTACTTTCTTAAATTTTATTTCCTATCCAAATGTAAACAACGAGTACATGCAAGTTTAAAAAAAATTAAAGTATCTTAATGTTCGATTCAATCTTTTTGGACTGGCAAATTTGGTAACTGAATTTGACTACTACCATGAAATTTCAACATCAGATTAGGGAGACCACACACAAAAAAATTCAGCTGTGAAGTATATCCTGCAATCTGAGATCTGTTTTTCAATATTCCTAAATTTTCTGTGATTTGATAACAGTGACCTTAAAACCAAAGAGAGTGAATGAGTCAAGTTTTAATTCATTTTTAAAACTGCACTAAGTTTAAAGAGAAAAAATTTAACAYAATAGTATCAGGAGAGATATTTCATAATTCTAAGCAAGCCTAACGTAAGCAAATTTTTTTTAAAAAAAAAGTATAATTTTCTACCCCATGTCTTCATTTAAGACCAAGTTCAGGGCTGGGGATGTGGCTCAAGCGGTAGTGCGCTCGCCTGGCATGCGTGTGGCCCGGGTTCGATCCTCAGCACCACATACCAACAAAGATGTTGTGTCTGCCGAGAACTAACAAATAAAAATATTAAAAATTCTCTGTCTCTCTCTCTCTCCTCTCTCACTCTTTG